GATTGAATCAAGGCATACAAATTCTTTAACTACAGTGGTGCCTCGCTTAGCGAGGTTAATCCGTTCCAGATTAACCCTCGCTCAGCGAATCCATCGTTAAGTGAAACAAAAAAGTCCATAGGAACGTATTAAAACTGATTTAATACGTTCCTATGGACTTAAAACTCACCGTTCTGCGAGTTTTCTCCATTGCGGCGGCCATTTTGGATGCCTCGTTAGCGAGGCAAAACAGCGGCTGCCATTTTGTTTTAGCGGCGGCCATTTTGGAACCGCCGATCAGCTGTTCGCTGTGCTTTGATCGCGTCCGCGCGATCATCGCATAGCGAAAAAAGCCCATAGGGGCCATCGCTGAGCGAACGCTCCAGCGATGGCCCGGGACCCATCGTTGTGCGGATTCATCGCATAGCGAAGCGTTCGCTATGCGAGGCACCACTGTATTTCAATTTGTTCATGATCAACATTAAAGTTGTGTAGTTCTTCTGTAGTCATGATTTTTGTCTTCATGTTCAACTGCGATCCTGCTTTAGTACTTTCTTCTCTCGTTTTCATCAGAAGTTGTTTCAAGTCATTGTTGCTTTCTGCCAGTAAGATCGTGTAATCTGCATATCTTAAATTATTGATGTTTCTTCCACCAATTTTTACTCCTCTGACATCTAAATCTGGTCCTGCTTTCTATATGATAGATTTTGTGTACAGCTTGAACAGATGGGTAGATGAAATGCACCCTTGTCTGACATCTTTGCCTATAGGAAACCATGATGTCTCTCCAAATTCTGATTCTTTTTTCAAATTTTCCTCCTTATAAGGGTAGGGGGTAACTGGGGTAAGGATACCTTTGGACGGGGTGGATTTGAACATACACATTACAACTCAGTATTTTTCATAATAACTCTATATATTCCCTTATAAGAATAATTCCACATATCATACAGAAATATATACAATGCGTAAGAGGGAAAACCAAATTCAGACAAGTATTTTGTAATTCCCATTATTAATTGTGTTGCTGGTAATGTTTATCCAACATTTAAACTAACTCTTCTGAAGCTATGACTGTATATCAGCCTACCATTCTATCTGCTTTGTAGCCATGCATATAGCGGCAACCAAGTTTCCTGGTGATCCTTTTTCTTTTTTGCATTCATCCAATCTGACAGTATATCCATTTCTGCGGTTTCAAGTATTTTTCCTGTCAGTTCTTCTATTTGTGGTGTTCTAGGCTCTTTCCAGTATTTCGCAAAAACTATTTTTGCCGCTGTTATAATATGAATAGTTAGGAATGCTTTTTCAGACTCTAGTGTATTAGGCAAGATGTTTAATTTAAAAAATTATGGTATCGTCGGTATTAAAGTTTCCAATATCTCTTGTAGTATCTGGTTCACTTTACTCCAATATTTATGGGTGTCTTTGCACAGCCACCACTTGTGGTAAAATGTTCCTTCTTTCTGTTTACGTTTCCAGCATACATTTGAGAACTGGATGCTTATTTTAGCCAGAGTCATGTACCATCTGTAGAACATTTTATATATATTCTCCTTGAATGAAGTAGATTTAGTTAATTTTAAGATTGCTTTCCAAATTTGTTCCCATTGATTTAGTTCAATATTGTGTCCTACATTCTGAGCCCATTTGATCATACATGCCTTTACTACTTCATCTTGTGTTTCAAAGTCTAACAGGAAATTATATAATAACTTAATGCATTTTCTCTCCAATTCTAAAAGAATTCTGTCAAAAGGGGTGTTTTCTAGGTAAAAGCCCTGTTGCTTATCTTTAGCATACCTTGATATTAGTTGTGATCATGCCCACCAATCCATTTAAATATCTTTATCTACTAGCTCTTGCTGTGTTTTGATAGAACCATCAATATTTAAAACCTCACTATATCTTACAATTTTCTTATTTTTTCTCAGATGTGGTATAGCAAATGCTTCAATTGGCATTACCCAGTGTGGTATTTTGATATACATTTGATTTTTCCACATCAACACAAGTGCCTTCCTTAGTATATGGTTGTTGAATTGTTTGAAATCCTCCATTCTATTATACCATATGAATGCATGCCAGCCCCATTTCATATCATGTCCTTCTAATTTCAAAATCTCGTGTTTTCAAATGTTATCCACTCTTTAATCCATATCAATGCAGATGCCCTGTAGTAGAGAAGCCAATTCGGGAGGCCCATTCCTCCTCTTACTTTTAGGTCTTGCAGATGTTTGATTTTAATTCTGGGTCTTTTTCTTCTGCTAAATAAATTTAGAAATGCATTTTTCAAGCTTCTTAAATATCGTTTGTTTGAAAACAATTGGAATTGTTTGAAAAAGAAATATGAGTTTTGGTAAAATGTTCATTTTAATTGTAGCAATTCTGCCCATCATTGCCAATTGTAGATTTATCCAGCTAGATAGGTCTTTCTTAATTTCCTCTATCAGTTTTAAATAATTATCTTTCAGAAGAGTACTTGTTTTCTTTGTGAAAATTATGCCCAAGTATTTTACTTTCAATGTATTCTTGAAGGCTTTCACAGCCGGGATCTAATGGTTGTTGTGGGTTTTTCGGGCTCTTTGGCCGTGTTCTGAAGGTTGTTCGTCTTGACGTTTTGCCAGTCTCTGTGGCCAGCATCTTCAGAGGACTGGAGTAGGAACTCTGTCAAATCCATAAACATCATTTCTTTTGTTAATAAGGAAGACTGAGTTTCTTGCATCAGTCTCAGTGGTGTAGTTTCTGGTGCTGGACTTTCTTTCCCCACCTTAGGTTTTGCAGCCATTTTTTAAAATAAAAACCTTTATATGGCAATTCTTCAATATTCTTCACTGATACCTGCTTTTCCCCCTCTCCCTTCTTGTTTAGATTTAAGTAATCTAGTATATTAAGGATGTATACCGTATTTTTCGCACCATAAGACACACTTTTTTCCTACAAAACAGGGGGGTGGAAAGTCTGTGCGCCTTATGGAGCGAAGAAAACAGATTATATTTTCCTGTTTTCTTCTCCTAAAAAATTGGTGCGTCTTATGGAACGAAAGTACATATGAAGAGATGTAAGAACAGCCAACAAACTCAGTCACAACTCAATCAGCCAACCGATGAAGATCACCCAGTATGCACTAAATCGAACAAAGAGTCAGTGTTATTAATAAAGAGGGAAGCTTTCTTTGATCACTCCAGCCCAGCGAGAAAGTATCCTAGGTATAATAAATATACAGTAGTCAATGTTGCACTGTTGATCCACTTCAAGATGTCTATTTATGTCTAGATTTGAGAAGGTAAAAAAGAAAAAGAGAGAGAAAAGGGCAAAAGCCAGCTAATTCAGCATTCTGGGCAGCTTTCCAGACCTTGAGTAGAAGGAGATAAGATAAGGTATTGTGGAATAGAAGTTCCTGAGAAAAAAGAAAGAAAAAAAATCTCTTCCAGCGGTGCCACAGAGTTCCAGAAACAGCAGGAAAATTAAAATAATAAACCCAAAAAACTATTTTTCAAGCTCCTCCCCCACCCACTCTCAACAAAAGAAATAAAATCAAGAAGAAAAAAGTTAAACTCCAATCTGTTCCCTTGTGTAATCCACAAAGGTATCACTTTGATTATAAGCAGCCTTCGTTTTCTACTTTCATCTCTATACCGGACATGTTGGTTTCTTCCAGCATGAATAAACTTCAAGTGGGTGTAGGCACATTCCAAACGGTTAGTATTGTGAAATTAGTCAGTAATATTTAGTAGTAACAAACAGGACTCTAAATGGGAAATTTACAGACAAATAGTTTAACAGTTCATCAGACTAAAATCTCTTTTAACAAGCTTCTGTGTTCCCTCCTGTCCTCTTCAGCTGCCTGCTTCTTCACTATTCAGTCTTCCAGCCTACTACTCCCACCTATCCTCATATATCGTAGTAGCTTTCTAAGTGTTCAGCTCAGATATAATATTGAAATAGATTTGCTTACAATGGCGTCTGTAGATCTAGGATATAATTGTGTGTCTGTTCTCCTCCAGCCTTCTGGACTGCGTCAGTTTTACAGACCTGTATGGAGTCCTGCCAAAGAGAATGCCAATCTTCTGGGATAGGGAGGTAGCGTCCAGCTCCCCCCACTTTCTCAGACAGCACTTCTCTTCTTTTGGAATGTATTTCCTGGAAAATTTAATTAGGCTATCTCAAGCCTATAGAACCTCCATCAGTGGTTACAATTAAGAAAGAGCTCCCAATTTGCAACCTCCATCCATCTTGGCCCTGCCTCCCTCCTCCAAATTCTGATTCTGTCCTAACAGTGCCCCCCCCCCACAATACAGGTTACACATCGAGACAATCAAGTGCTGAGGCATACTCATTTCTTTCAGAACAATTCATAGCCTCTCATGATCTGCACAATCAAAGAAAGAGATCACGTTGATAGGTGGCCAGTTTAGGTTTCCTTTGGAGGGAACTCCACAGCCTGGGAATGAACCCCAATGAAATCCTCTCTTGTGTCCCTGTCAAATGCATCTCAGGCTGGTAGGATAATGCAAATCACTGCCCTCAAAATTCAGGCAGGAATGGGTAACAATAGCTTGAACACAGCCTCGCTCACATTTCATTACTGCAAAAAAACAAAACAAAACAAAAACAAACCCTTGCATATGAAAGCACTTCCCCTTTAAAACAAGATGCAAGCATAGTCACTGTCCTGGAAGCTCTTGGGAGGCTTCAAAATACTGATTCAAAATACTGATTTTTATTGCCAAGCCACCAAATTTCAGTAGTGCATGACCATGCTGCAGCTCCCGCAGATTCTGAGAAGGGGGAAGTGTCCTCTGGATCTGCAGAGCCTATATATATTTGTTCTAATTTTAGGACAGATTCTAATCCTCATGCAGCTGGAAGTACCATAAGAAAATATGTAATGGAGTAAAATGTGATGCTTGTTTAGACTTGTTAAAAAAAGAAAACTAAGCTATGTAAATGTACATACTTCAACAAACACACAATATATAAAATACCCTTTAGAAAAAAGACATAAAACATGCAACTACCTTGCTTTTGTTTCAGTGGAAGCCAGAAAACAGAATCCTTGCTGGAATGGTGGAACACAGATACACTGGGATGATGCATGACGTGTTCCGGATCTAGTGAAAAAGAAAAAGAGAAAAAGAAAAGAAAAGAAAGTTTTCTTACATTTCAATGTCACATTCAAGGAAAGGAATTCACTAGAGGTTGAAATGTGATCAAAGGACTTTTTAAATATAAGAACTGATGAATGCTCTTCAAAGTATACTTTGAAATGGGAGATGGCATTTTTTCAAAGGTCTCTGCATTTTAATCTCTCTCTCCTTTGCATGCCAAAAATGACTATAGATACTCATGAAATCCTATTAAACATATTTGGAACGAAGTACAGATTATTCACCCCACCCTAACGAAAGCCAAAGTTTTGGGGAAACTACTGCACTAGAACCTTGAAAGGAGCCATTCTACTTACATTTAGAAATACCTCAATCATACAAAGCAAATTATGTTTTCCTATGATGTTTTCATAAACATAATTATTAGGAACTACCATCTTACAATTCTTTTGCTGCATTCCTGGTAGAAATTTTAAATTATTCTTACTTCATTTAGATGTTGAATTTGGTTGGATGTTGACTATGCAATATGTAGGGCTACAATATTACTCAATCTGATTTGTTTCCTGAAGTTGGGGGCAGAAATGCTATAGAAACTAATATAGTCGTAGAAAGAAATGGGAAGGACAAATGAAGCAAAACTAAACACCCATGCAAAGCACGTTGAGGATTCCTAGTACCTTAATAATCTACAGAGGGTTGATTGCTTGTGTTTTTAGACTACAATTCTCAGAAGTCTCCAGGCAGAATAGTTGTAGTCCAAAACAAACATATGTGCCTTTTCCATTTTATTATTTAAAGTACCTTGGACTCTTTTGCGTATGCTGCAACATATTTGATAAAGCAATATTATTTTAAAAACTTATTTTGGGGAGCTAGAATTCCCATGCTAGCTGAGGCATTCTGGGGGTTGTAGTTCAAAAAAGGCACTCTAGATTATGAATCGTCCTAAAATTCCAGAAATAACAATTAAAAATGCATTCTATGTTATCTTCCACAGGCTTCCGAGAGCTTAGTTAGCTGTTACCCTGAGGAAAACAAGAGATGGGAAAAACCAGAGGAGAGGAGGAGTTTGAAGTTGACAGTGATGATAATGACAAATTATTAGAACATTGCTTATTACGGTTACGATTTGTATCAGTATGCTTATTGAGTTTATGGTGTCTATGAATCGTAGATTTTTAGGAAAAGGTTTTAAATAATCGGATGGAAATTTTCATGTCCTTTCGGAAGGACAAATTTGATACTTGCATTGAAAGGATGATACGACTCTTTGAACAGTTGACTCGGGTACATCATCCTTTATGAAAATGGACTTCCTGGAACATCACAGCACATTAAAAAAATAGACAAGCACTTAGAGGTTTTTTTAAAACTTCTATATGAAAGTGCAAAGATGAGCCATTTTTTATAACATTCACAAAAAAGCCCAGCTTTTTAAGATAAAAACTTGTGAAAATGCACACAAACATTAAAAATGTATTTTCTTTGCAAAGTAGTGGGTTTGCACCATAAAATTCTACTAGCATGAATATTAAACCAAACTCTGCCAAAATGGGGGGAGGGGGAAGCAACAAACAATCCCAACCTCTTATAATCTCACAGCAGGGAGAAAACTGAATTTTTCAATTTCAGCAAGCAAGAATGAAATAAGTCAAGAATGGTGTCACTATAAGATACATGCCCTATTAAATAAAATGGATCTTACATCTCAATATGCATAGGAGATTGATATATTTGTATTTATTAGGAATGAAGGGTTGGAAGCGTTGCTTTCCAAGCAGGAGGACTTTGAACAACTTCTGTTTACACAGTCACCAGGTAATATAATATTTTAATCTGGCATAATTGGACTTGAACTGGCTTCTACTTAGTGAACAAACCAAAATTTATCCCAGTGTTCTGATAAAGATTGGCTCTGCTAATGTATATTTTCCCCATCCCCCCCCCCACAAGTCATTAAGTAAACTGTGTTTCCAAAGCAGGCCAAATGAGGAGGGGGGTTTATGCAGAGTGATGGGCTACCTCTTAAACACTGTGGAAATTTCAAAAAACATAGCATGGGATGAAACACTACACTACAGCCTGCCTACAACCAGCTTTAAACATATCTTAAGCAGATTTTGCCTGGCCATCATTTCCATGTACTGTATTCCATGTACACAAGTTATTGGTGTTTGCCCGATGAAGTGGGAAATTTTACTCCACGAAAACTCACATTTCTTTGATTTTTAGTGATCTAATAAAGGTGTCACATTCTTCTTCAATTTTGTGTTGTGTAATCACCACACAGCTTCCCTTTGAATTTTTTTTCTTTGATTAGTATTCTTTTCAACAATCATGTATCATCAAATTCCAAAAACATTATGCAAAATTTACACTGGATTCCACTATTGCACAAAAGGATGCACAGCAGAAACCCCAAGCCTACAACACTTACAGCCAGTCTCCCAGATGTCTCAGAAAGAGCAACTGCTTGTGCTGTATTCCCTGTGCACAGTACCACTTTGCTGATATGTTCTAGAGTCTTATTATTTACATTCACCAGAGTAAATCCGACAACATAAATCTCAGCAGCAAATTGCTGCTTGTTAAGTACTTGACATAGGCATTTGCTGTCACTCATCACTCATGTCTCAGCAAACCACAGTAAGTGCCAACACTGATTTCTTATGGCAATTGGTCACTGAAATTTATTCTGATGGATTCAAACCAGTGTAATTTTTCAGTTAAATTTCTGTTGCTGTGTTAGACATGGAGCTTTCATAATTTCCTAAAAAGCACAGACACTTGCACAATATGGTTGTTGTAGATTTTTTTGGTTCTTTGGCCATGTTCTGAAGGTTGTTCTTCCTGACCTTTCGCCAGTCTCTGTGGCCAGCATCTTCAGAGGACTGGAGTAGGCGAAACGTAGGCCACAGAGACTGGTGAAACGTCAGGAAGTATAACCTTCAGAACACAGCCAAAGAACCCAAAAAACCCCACAACAACCATATTGTTCAAGTGTCTGTAAGTAGCACACTTCACACAATTTTTTTTGGGGTAGCTTTGTTGGTCTGTTGCAGCAAAAACATCATCTTCTTGTAGTACCTTAGATACCAAAAAAGTCTTAGCTGGCATAATCTTCTAAGGACTTCAGCAAGTTTATCAGACGCATAGAATGCTGCCTCAGTTTGCAGCTTACTGCTTGGCAGGGAAAATGGGATTAGTAAAGTGAGAAAACTGAAATTATTACTTTAACTGTACTTGCCAACAAACAGTAATGGTACAGTAGCACTAAAACTTTAACATAAAGGAACTGATTAACACATATTTTAAGAAGAAAATTGAATTGGCAAGGTAGGTTAACTTAGGATATTTTCAAGCTATGATATGTTCTTTTATTTTATCTCTGAAAGAAATCATACCTTGCTTCCTCATGCCATAAACTTGTCCTCACATTCCCCTGCACACATATACCCCACAAAAGAGATAACTGTAAAAGTCATGGTGAATCTCTGGGAATTCTCATGGACCAGTAAACACTGATGGCAAAAATAAATAAATCAGCTATTGAATAAGAGTATCAACCAAAGCCCCTCTGTGTGAAAAAAATCATTATTTATTTATATGTACCAGCAATGAACATAGTTGCATGACACAATTCCCCTCCCTTCATTTTATCTCTCAAACGACTGAGTAAATTAGGTTAGAGTAAGATTACTGACTGGTCTAACCACATACAGGGAGCCTTGTGATTAAGCAGGAATATGAATTTGGGTCTCCCTATTCTGATCAGTCTGATCATTATGTTATACTGGTTGTCTCAGATTGGTGACTAGTATATAAATGGTGCCAAGTTGAAATATATTGGTAGAAAAATAATGCAATTGTTTAAAGTGTTTAATTTGCATAATATGAAAATGCCATTATCAAAATTTGCAGCATATGTAAATTAAGCCGCACAGACTAACCGAGTATGGGATCTCTAAATGCATGTTAAGTTGGTCAAAAGAAGAAATATTGTGACTTCTTATCAGCAAAAGCCAACCAACCAAAACTGTATACAAAAAAAATGGTCCTGTGGCAGCAAGAAAATATAAACAGATTATTTTGATGAGATAATCAGAAAATGGAAAGAAATACGTGCTCAGATTTTGTAGGCAGTTGGTTATAGAGGCACAGGTTGAACTCCAAGGTGCTGAGGGAAATGGGAACCCTCAAATTCAAAGTGAAGAAGAAACTGAGGGCTCGGTAGTAATTGCCTCAGAGTGAGAAAATATCCAAAGCTCCCAAGATTTTGAAAAAAAATGAAAGATAGAACAAGAATTTAAACTGAAAGATCTAGCTATGAAACACCAATTAGAATTGGAAAAAGAAAACAGGAAAAGGGAATTTGAGCAAGAATTGGAAAGAGAAAAAACCAGAGAATTTGAAAAGAAAAGGGCATTTGAGCAAGAAAACAAGGGAATTTGAACAAGAAAACAGGCAAAAAGAAATACAGTTCCAATTTGAGATGAAAAAATTAGAATTA